TTGCGACTGTTCTAACAATCACATTGTTCTATTTGATCAGACAAGTACTTCACGCCTGTAGACTCGTACTGTTATTCTCTAGCTTGATATTAAAGTTATTTTTAATATGGAAGAAAAATTGAGAACTGAAATTCCTTCCTCCTGAGAAATACACATCTGTTCAGTACACAGTAGATTCTGACGCTATGCATAAAAAAATTATATTCACTGCTTCAAATGATAGCCCTCCATAGTGAATAAATATATTTAGTGTTCCAAGGACATTATTGTCCTACAGGATACAAAAAAGTTTTGGCATTTCACAAATGCCTATTTTTATCCTTCCTCCAACTGGAATATATTCTGTCTGGAGAGAAGGAAGGTCTGCTGATCTTACTGATCTATTAAAATTAACTGTGTAAAATTCCACTCAATATACCTATTTAATTGCATGGAAAAATTATCTTATTTCTGTTTATTTTCCCTGAAAATTCATCTTGAAAAACAAAATGTACTTTGAAATTGTCATAACATTTTACTTCTCCAAAACATCAAGACCTATCTACAGTTGAATGCAAGAATTTTTAATCCAAAAAGAATTTTGGATTAAAATTATTTTGTTTTTGCTGTTGGGACATAGAATATATAGAATATCTCCAGTTCATAAAGCAAGAATGGCATTATTGATTTTCATGGTAATTGTGTCTCAATAAAGCGTGCATCAATTGAGAAACAGGCAGTTTTGTTAACCACCTGCACCTTGGAGACTCAACAAAACTGGAAAAGTAGGATGAGTTTATATTCTTTCTTTCCCCCCTTCAGAACAGGAATAAACATTCTTTAAATGAAATCTCACCCTTGTTTGTAGTTCAGCAGTTTCCATATCTTTACTATCTGCTTTTGGAGACAGCTATAACACCATCAGACATTGTATAATGAGATTCATCAGCTCATCAGAGGGTACAAACCATATCAGATCAGATTTCTTTACTGTGGCACTGACTGGTCCTTCACTTGAATGAAGAGACACACTTTGAATCATGATCAGAAAATTATTTCACTTGATCAAGGTTTTACCCTAAGAGCCCCTGGTTTTTGAAATATGATAAAAAGGTTATTTCATTTCACCAAAGCTTACCTTGGGTTTTCTAACAAGGTGGATTTCTGAGAAATATAAAACCAACTATAAACAGCTGATCTGTTTTCGTACAGCTGTCACTATCTACTACATGATTAAGATAGATTTCATCATTCTTTAAAAAAAAAAAAAAGTTTCTATTCATATACATTTCTGATAAGAATGCTTGGAGTTTTAATCCTGTCCTCACTAAATCTGTTTATGTCCAAAACTGCCAGCCATTGCCTCACTTCTGCTCCTCTTCCAGCCTATGAAGAATGACAGCAGTTTTTCCAAGTAGATAACAAGAGCTCCAGGGAAATGCTCTTTTGTGATCCTCTCTATAAACAGTTTCTCTTCAGTGTAGCACAGCTATCCTTCCTAACTGTGAAAACAAGATGTCTATAATACAAACAGACTTCATACTGCTCCTTTACATCCAGCTGGTTGTCCACCAGGACTTCAAAAGATGTTTTGCACCCACACTGAAAAAATGAAAACGAATGAGTTTGAACACACAATGATTGTAAAATTGTTGATCCCTTCACTATTACTGTAATGCCAACAGGAGCATTTATCCTCCTGTGGTAGTGACTGAAGACTTCCTCTCAGCAGAGCCAGCAGGAACTTCATCAGCAGTGCATGGGACTGTGCACTACCTTAGCTCTGTGCTGCTCCAGGGGACAGAATTGTGGCACTTTAGTACAAAGCCGAGCATGATTTACACTGTCCAAAGGCACAGAGATGGTTAGGTATAAAAAAATAACTGAAGCAGTGAGGATGAGAGTTCTGCTGTTTTTCTTCTTCGCAGAACCTATCACAGCATGTATTTATTCCAATCAAAAAATAAAAGCAGACAACATCATTCTGATTTGACTATTCTATGTTGCAGTGTGAATATATATTTACAACAAAAAAGTTTCGTCACAATAATCCTCAACTCTGATCCAAGTTTTAGTAATTAGTTAGTATTTTTGTTCTTGATCTTGCCATTAAAACGTTCTTTCAAATGCTACTGGCAAATACATATTTTTTAGAACGTATTTTTAATGGTTAAATCTTCAATTAAATATATTTGATCTAAGCTAATCTCACAACTTCTTATGCAAATGCATAACACTGTCTATAAATCCATGTGTATGTTTCTGTGTGGGTTTGTATGTCAATATATATACTAAGTATGTAAATAGAGAACTGTAAAAATTGAGTTGAGTATTTAAAGCTGCTTTTATTTCCCATAGCACTTCTCAGATTACTGAGGAAACAAAATTTATCTTGAATTACCATGGTTGCAGTATACTTATTTAAGAGCAGCATTTTCAGTGTGGGGAGCTCCCCAGGCTGAGCATGGAGGATAGAGAAAAGGCATAGAGAGAAACGTTTGGCTCTAGCTTGGTATCATTTGCACAGCAATCCCTCCTGAGCACATGCATTACCATGGAGATTTTAAAGGAGATGAAGTGTTTGATTACTTTTGGGATTTCTGCTTCATGCAGGGAATACATTCAACTGAGAGAGTGGTGAAAAGATAGCTACAGCTTTACCTGCCATGATAAGCACAAACTGGCACTAAGAGCACCCCATCACTGATTTTGCAGTTCCAGGATCCTCAGGTTCTAAGTTATCTGTCCCAGCTTGCTTTGTGACCTTGAGCAAATCCTGCTGGGTATCACATTTGTTTATGCAAGGGCAGCAATATTCCTCAGCATTAAAACGACAAGTTTAGTCTCAGCTAAAGAACATATCACTTGTGATAAACTAAGAAGTTGAAAAGAAAATGAAGTCTTAATTCAATGCTGGGTGAAAATAAGTTGTATGGGCTGTGTGGAACATCTCTATTCATCCTGAGATCAAGGGTACATATAAAAGCGCTTCTGATCACAGCCCCTTAAGTTTATCAACTACTACAACTGCTTATCTCTGTGGCTGGGAAGAGTGAAAGAACTGTAAATGTATTCAGGCAGACCACATCTACTCACATCCGACTGTGCTCCGGTCAGAAATTACGTAGTTCAAAACCAGGATGAAGCTATATTTGTCTAGATTTTGGTCTGTTGTTCTCCTCTGCCCCAACTGGTTCTTAAATTGTTTTCGTATACTACCCGTGGTGGGTTGACCTCAGCTGGCTGCCAGAGCACCTCCTAGCTCTTTTCTCAATCCCTCCTCAGCAGGACAAGAGGAGAGAAAAAAAAAAAAAAAAAAAAAAACACAAACACAGAAAAGCCCACAGGCCAAAACAAGGACAGAGCATCTCATTACTAAAACCTTGCCACATAAACCCATTATAATCTCACAGACTCTCATGCAATTTTTCAACTGAATACTGGCTCAAGCTAAGGCATTGTCACAGACACATTAAAACTTTGAGGACTCTCTCATTCCAATACATATGTGAGTAGAGAAACTGAGGATTCATAAAATGGCATAAAGTCCTCAAAAAAGTTCTAAAAAATTGTAACAGTTTACAGAACAGAGAAAAGCATTTTGTGAATTTTTCTGTAATTGTATTTGCTCCAATATCTTTGGCATTTGCTAAAGACAACATTTACCATATTACTCCAGCACACTGCATAATTTGCTTTTAGTACCACCTGGATGACACGACACTTTTCAAAACCCACTGAGAAGGTAGTAAATCAGCCTAATGGTTAGAACAGATAAAATTCATTATTCAAGCACCAGTGTTATTGACAGTATATCAAAAAGGTCAAACGAGCAGATTAAAAACTCGAGTTATGAATTAAACATATCAGATGATTTCTATGACAGCAGTTATATTTCACAGGAGCAAGAGAGGTTTATACATTTTGTGTGAACAGTTTTGGACACATCTTTTGCACTTTGAAAAAGTGCAAAATAAATGTAAAGACAATCAGATGACAAACAATGATATAAGCAATTGTGATACATTTTTCCACGTGACAAATTTGAAGGGAAATGGTGACTGACAGGACTGACAGTAAAAGAAAGAATAAGTGTAATTTAAAATTTTTTATAATGGACAATATTTCTGAACAAGAGATGAGTCAAAATCTTGTGTAATGGATACTACATATACCAATAGACAGTTTTCCTTTTATAATGTTTAAAGAACCTGTAAAAATGCTTGTAGCAACCAAATTCATTGTGTAGGCTATATGTAATCACTAGAAACCATAATAATCTAGAATTATTATTATCTAGAAACCATAATAACATAACAGTGCACTTGAGTCCACAGACTAGAGGCCCCAGACACAGGAATGCAAAATTAAGACAGAGCATAATGCAGATTCCTAATAATTACATTAAGTATACTCCAGGCTAATCTGCATCGTTAAAAAAAAAAAAAAAAGTCAGGAAAAAGGCAAACTGAAATACATTATACCCATCCCATATTATGCTTTCTTTCGGGCCTCTGACAGCAACAAATTTCAAGGAAAGCAGTAGCTTTCCTTGAAATTTGCGTTTTTCTCATTGACATCTTCCTTATAGGAAGTCATCCATATACAGTAGAGGCACCAGTGCCTATAGTTAACACTTGCTCAGATAGAAGTAGCTTGAGTTTTGTCAAGATAAACCCACGTATTGTCCTTATAGGTCATGGTCATTGTTATCAAGATTTTCTGCTTTTCCTCACTTTTAGCCTAATTTTCAAAATATTAAGACTGCTAGAAACCAAAGCTACTATCTCCTATCTGATCAGGATTAGTTTACTTTTTTTTTTTTGGGTCTCAATTTAAATTGCAAATTACTTTGTAACAGGAACCATCTCCAGAAAAGCAGGAAAATCCAGGTTGGAAGGGACTGTGAGGATCTACCGCCCCCTCAAACTATGTTGAGCCATGAGGACAACCCAAGTTGCTCAGGGCTTTATTTAGCCAGGAAAAAAAAAAAAACACAACAACGGGAACTGCACTACTGCTCTGGGCAGCCTCACTGTCCTCATGGGGAAAAGTTTTCCCTTTTGTTCAGCCTGAACTTTTCTCATTTTAGTCTGTGCCTGAGGCCTACACTCCTCTTGCCATGCCCTGTTGTCAACAGCCTGGTTTTCTCTTCTCTGCGATTTCCTCAAGTACTGGGGAGTTGCTATCGGATGTCCAAAAAAGCAGTGCAGTCTCTCCTCACAGGAAAGTGCCCCAGTCATTTCAATGGCCGTCTGGTGAACTCACTTCAGTTGATCAGCTTTAAAACAAAACAAAAAAAAAAAAAAAAAAAAAACACACAACCTGGAGGACCTAAAAACTAAATGCGGTTTAAAGAATGTTTAATAAAGGGAAAACATCATTTTGCTTGCCTTGTGTTGCCTTGCTGTTGGTACCACCCTGGATGCCATTGGCCTTCTTTCCGTCAGGGCACAATGAACTCACATGTACTTGGCTAGCTGCTGCAGCCCTTCCAATCCAAGCAGAACTACCCTCACCAATCCATCCTCAGCCTGCATTACTGCCAGCCATTCCTCATTCCCAGGAGTAGATCTTTGCACTTGCCCTTACTGAATTTCACATGTTTCCTGTTCTCCAGTTCCTCTTGCCTCTCCAGCTCAAACTGGATGGCAACCCTGCTTTTGAGCATACTGACCGGTATCCCCAGTTTGGTGCCCACTGTACATCCAGTGATGTTACACTATCAGTTTCCTCTATAATACTGACAAATACGTAAAAAAGAAGAGGTTACAGTATAACCCCTCTGGTACTCTGCTTCTCATCATCCTCCAGGTAGAGTACATCCCATTAGCAATCACACTCTGAGCCCAACCATCCAGCCTGTTTGTAAGACTCGGCAGTGCCAGAAGAACACTTGTTAGAGAAATAATGAAGTAGTATACCTCCATGAAAAGCACAGGGGCTTTGTTTATCCCAGGTCTGATGGTAAGATTTTTCCTAACTTGGTTTTCTTACCAGTTATGCACTTTACAGATATCATAAAGAGAAAAATCAGTCTTGTTCGTTCACATGAGACTACTCACATTGCACCAGGCCATCTGAGTACTCACATCTCCAAAAAAATTTTGGTATTCAGCCAAAAAAAAGAATAATGACCAATAAATCATGGGAGATCGTACAGGGAATCAACAATCATAAAATGCCACTAAGCTGTATCTCAGGAACAGAATAGGAGGACATATTAGTCTGAATCCTATGGAATAGTTGGGTTATTTCCACTGCTGGATTTTTCAGCTTTAAATGACCAACTTTCCACGGGAAATTAAAGGGAAGAGAAAAAGAAAGTAACTATGGCTGTCTCTGCAGCTGTCAGTGAAGCATGAGAGCTGAATCACCAATGGTGTTACAAGAATAACAGTTACCTTTGGCCAAAAGGAATTCATCCCCGGGAACATCAGATCACCAGCTAAAGAGAGCAACAACTTCTTGGCTCAATTACTGTTGAAACAGATGGTTCCCTCCTTATTTCATAACAGGGCAGTATCAAGCTTTCTGCTCTGATACCTTCTTTATATACTGGTAATATGCACATTCCTGTGATATTGAACAAGCATTTTTTAATGCACGCTAAGTATGTGTTTAGACTTTACAAACATAACTCTGTGATAACCTTAATGACTTCCTTGGAAGAGACCAACCAACCACGCGACATAATTCTTATCTTTTAACTTGTACATCCAAACCCTTCAACAGCCTAGCTCTATTCATCATTATAGAACTTCAGCTCCTAATTTGCATTGATTTCAGTACTCTTCCACCCTGGGTTCTCCTTTTTAACGTAGTATCTACATTTAATATAAACAACTTTTTATCCACAACCAAAATAAAATACCAAGCAGTAATCCATTAACCGAACAGTTTCTGATGCAGGAGAGTTCTCTGCAATACTTTCCTGCTCTTACTTCAGAATCTCAAGCAATGCAATTTCTACTGTGTAGTGTTTTTTCGAGATTTAGGATGCATTTTTATGTCCAGTAAGCAAAATCACGCCCTTCTTACTTACACTCATATGTGAAAGCAAAACAAGTATGTTTCTTTGGGTCCTGGAGCTACTCCATAACTTTTCTTCACACTCAGAATTTTCCTCCTGCTCCCCATTGGGGGACAACCTGAGGATGCTCAAATTAAGAGCATGGCATCTCTACCCTGATCCCTGGAAGCACTGCTTTCCCACAGCCACAACACCACATAACTGCTCTTTGCCTCTACACTCCAGGCTGCTGAAAGTCAGAATAAAAACCTCTGTAAATTTTAGAAGGAAGCAGACATCTCCAATCACACTTTTATGCTGTCATCATAAATACCAAGATGCTGAAAGCTAAAAACATGCTGCAGCCTATATTAAAGTAATCATCAAATCTTACTACAAACAATGCAGTACATAAGCAGTCAAACCACAGATGGCATTTGCATTTTTACTTCCAGAAAGTGAAATAATCCAATTTTAAGTGAAATAAAACTTCCAGAAAGTTTAAGAACAAGCTTAGCTAACACATTTTATAATGAAGATTGTCTGTACTTGCACATTAGTCCTTCCTTCCTGTTTTCTAAAACTATTCAATTGCACAGTCAAGCACACTGCATTTGCAGCTCTGGTAAGTGGTGAAAAGCTCAAAACCCCTCAACAGTACTTTTCTGTGCCTGCAGATCAGCAGAACCATGTCTGTTTTCCTCTGCATCTGTATTTTCCAACAAGCAATCATCACAAGGTTGCAAAAGGTTAAGAATATCATCATTTATAGCTGATCTGCTGCCCACTGTCACATCAAACTGACATTTTTCAATGTCTGTACCTCATCTGGAACTTTCCAATCCCCCTCCCACCCTAATTTCCATTTTTTCAATTTGAATTTGATTTTACAGTGTTTTGTCATCAGTTCTAATCTATCTGGATAGAAGAGCTGGTCTTTTGATCTGAATGACTTTTGCATTCTGTTACTCCTGTGACTATGCTGCAAATATACCCTTATTAGAAGCTTTTTTTCCCTGAGGTAAGTTATAACCTTGTATTTAACTACACATCTGCATATGCATATAGATTAACACATTTTTAAAAAAAGCATGAGATTGACTGCCTTTTTTCCTGATCTTCCTAAAATTAGCAGACTCCAAGACTTAATACAATCATTCCAGCATGTTAAATAACATAAATGTTAAGGTCTCCCATAACAGATCTAATACATCAGATCAGAAAGAAAAGGGATATTAAAGCAACCAAGTGTGTTTGGAGCCCACTAATCTAAGTCACTTTGGCTGTGTCATCTGTCAGCTTGTAATCGCATAAATTGATGCTTAGGCTATATATAAGGGGGATTTCTTTCCTATGAATTTTACTGCATCTCTGCCTCAGAAAAGAGGCGAATAAATAAATAAATAAATAAAAATAAAAAAAATAAATTCCATGCCACATTCCCCCAGCTTGTGGATGGATCAATACTGTTATTTGACCACAGAAACCAAGCTTTCCACAGAGGAGCCCTTAGCAGTACTGGCACGCTGTGGGCAGCCACATGTTCAAGCCACATTCCTGAATTCACAGCAGACATCCTGAAGCAAAGTTTTGTACAGCATCAGTCTATACTGTCCTCAAGAGCAACAGCTCTCAAGGGGCTCTGACCCAAAAATCCTGATCACAATGTATCAGAGGAACTTTTTTGGGCAACAAATTTTCAGATGAGCTTCAGGAAGATGAGAAAAGATGAAGTTTTTTACTCTTTTGGCAGATAACACCCTTACTGCAACCTACTAGCTCTGTCAACATAAATTAAGCATTCTCATTCTGTTAGGCCTAGTGCATTACTTACAATTTGTTATGAATATTTTATAAGGTGTACTTCATTTATGGGAAGTTGTTTATTCTTCATGCACATACATGACCTCAGGAAGTTATATAACCAGGCTACACATTCATACATATATACATACATACACATTTGTATGCACTTACCTGGAGGGGCTGTGAATCTAGCTGTTCAGATCAGCCCTCCCAGGGCACAGGGAGAGCTGAATTTAAGAGCCAGCAGAGCCCCCTGAGTCATAAGGAGGTTACTTGTGGTTAAGGAGTGATTCCTGCCAATGAAATCTTTCCAAATCATTCACTCTTATGCTGCATATTCCCCAATATTTCTGGGGAAGATCAAAGGCAATTGAGGGATATGGTTTAGTGAGAACTATTGGTGATAGGTGGATGGTTGGACCAGATGATGTTGTAGATCTTTTTCAACCTTGGTGATCCTGTGATAGGCTGAAGCTTGCTGATATTTAAGGTTCCTTTCAATCTAAACCATTGTGTTGTTCTAGGAACATCTCAACCTCACACAGAGGGTGCTGACACACTGGAACATGTTGCCCAAGGAAGTTGTGGATACCCCATCCCTGGAGGCATTCAGGGCAAGGCTGGATGTGGCTCTGGGCAGCCTTATCTAATGGTTGGCGACCCTGCCCATGGCAGGGGGGTTGAAACCTTGATGATACCTTGATAATGAATTGATCATTATGGTCCTTTTCAACCCAGGCCATTTTATGATTCTATGAACAGGGGCGTTGAAGAAGAAGCTCATGAAAAGAGGTTTTTGTCCGAACAGAAAAAACTGTGCATTGACTTAAATAGCTCTTGAGGAGTTCTGATAATCCAAAACTGGAATAGAGCTGTTGAGATAAATCCCTATCCCAAAGTTTCCCTTATGATATTGCAGTTTCTTCCAAAGAACATTTTTAACCCAGCACTTTGATGCAAAATGCTGAAGCAATAATGGTTGATGAACTGCCTTCAAAATATGAAACATACTGGTATGTAAATTCCCAAGAGAAAGATGCTTGTCAAAATATGTTTTCTCAAGGGTTCTTTCTAAGGTCCCATACCTACCCATCAAGCAGAATTAATCGACCAGTCTCTCTGTTCCCTTTACCTTCATTCTCACTGATTACAACATTCAGTCTTATAGCCATGTCTGTCACTTCTGCAGAACCATTTTCACTTGATTCTCTCCAGAAGAGAGCTGAAACAGAAGAGAAGATAATAAAGATAGTTCCCATTCAAAAACACATGAACAATAAACAAGTGAGTTTACATTAACATCACTGGAAAGTGCTAACTCCCACGGCCAATTCTAGAGTGTAAATTGAAGCTGCTCATTTGAAAGAAACTGAATCTACAGGGTATATAACTTCTTAGAAATGACAGTGATTTATTCCAGCTGAGAAAGTGATAAAAGCTGGGATCTGGAAAAAAAATTAATAATAAGCAAAAGCTTTAGCTCATTTGGAACTCTCTCAGTAAAATGCTTTTGCCTTAGGACAAACACATTTCCAAGTGCTTGTTTACAGAAACACCTGGTCTACACTGAGATAAAGATACGTTCATTTCTGACTAAATGTGACCCCCAGCGCCACCTGCAGCCTTCTGCTCATACTCTGGGCTTCCTGCTCAGCAGTCACTGAAAACGAGAGCAGGTATGCTCCCATCCCACAGTCAGCTGAGATCATTCTGCACTGCTAGAATTTTACCTAAGGTGCACTGTTGTTGTTCCGAAGAAGCCAGTTAGTGGGATCACACTCAGCATTTGGTGCGCAAACGTCAGCTGCCCCAGTCAAATGCAAATGTCTCTCACATACCTAGATATCAGTGTCTCTGAGATCACCTCTTTTTTAAGCTGCCTCCCTATTATTGTGGGAGAGCACAAAATGCCACTACACTTCTCTTTATGAATGCTTGCATTCCCACAGGCACATTTCTCAGACTGATGGTTATGAAGAGATAAGGCTGAACAGAAGGGTTGGAGTACTGATCTAAGAAGCCTCTTAGAGTCTGAATAATTCAATGACACAACACAGCAAGGGCACACACAAACACAAGCGAGTTCCTGTTTAAGAAGAAGCAAAATTACTTCTGACAGATTCTTGGTACTACCAGATAAAGTACCTACAGACAGGCCAATAGTTGTATACAGAAAGAAGAATCAAACTCACCCAGCTGGTGAAGGGGTTCTATAGCTATACAACACTCCCTCACAGGAAGCAGCCTAGGTGCAAAAAGAGCCTTCTTTTCAGTAGTTGGCCCTTATACGAACCCAGGCCACCCTGGGTCTACACCTTCTGATCACCTAGAGAGCACAGGTGCAAACAGTTTGCTTATGTTCCCTGGGCCAGACACAGCCCTTCACCAGGTGTTCAATCACTAGTTCAAGCTGTGACCCAACAGTACCCCTAACCCATGCCTGTGATGCTAGCCAACTAATCCTCACTCAAGGCAACCTCCCATGTTTGGTCAGAGTCTATGCCTGCCACTTCTCTTTCTCAGATGTCTTTATCTTCTATTCCTTGATCAGTGGCCAGGTGCACTGCACTGCACAGGAATAGATATCCTCCAGGATCTCTGAAGGAGAATTCCCAACATTTACTCAGCATTACTTGTGCTTCTCTGGGTAACTGTTGGTCTGGCAGTCAATTGGACATTTCCTCAGTCACTGTACCATGATTTTGCCTTATCTCCAGTAAACCTTGTTTATCTACTATTTTGGAAAAAAAAAAAAGAACTAAATGTAAATAACTTATTTTTGGGTTGTATTGATTCCTTACAACTCTTCATTTCATTGTGTAGCTGTTGCTGTCAGGATCTGAGCTGTGTAGACCCCTGTGTAGACACAAGCCAGCTTCTCAAATGTCAGTCATCTTCTGGAAGAAGCTCATGATCTGCATTTTTTTTCCCTTCTTGACCAACTGTGTACAAAGGTGTACAAAACCACTTGCAACGGAAAGCAGCACTGAGATGGATTGTGCTAACTGCATGTTAAACCACATTCCAGCCAGCTGTATATCGCTAGTAACGTACATTTCCCTGTTTCTATATTAAATAACAAAAACAAAACAAAACAAAACAAAACAAAACCTACAAAGGCATTCCATTATTCCATTATTAGACACCACAGAAGAAAAATCTGGAAGGAAACCATCAGCATCCCTAAATGACAGTTATTGCACCAATCAGTGGAAAAGTGAACGGTTGCTTGTCATCGTGTTGTCCTACCTCAGTGAAAACAAGAAACTAGTAGGGTCAAATACAGTGAACTGATACTTTAGCCTAGAAGTGTGTTCTGATTCTCTGAGAAACCCTCCTGGAGGAAAAGACCAATTTTCCATGAATAAACCTGGTATTTTAGAGGACAACTATAAATATAGCTCTGTTTCATCCCATTTTATTATATTTACTATGTTTGAAGAGGAGGAGGAGAAAAGAAGTAGAGAGCCAGCATTCTGTCTAGCCATGCTACTGAACTGTGAATGCTGAACTGGAAAATGTAGCTGTTTCCCAGAACAGCTATAACAGCAATTGTAACTCTGATTTAACAAACATGGCAGGTTAGTAAGAAATAAACAGAAGTTTTTATTACCAACTTGTGTTCTTGCTTTCATTGAGTATCGTGTTTTCTTTGCCAGACAGAATATTGTTTTCTTCCTTTACATCTCAAATGTCTTAAATCTCTACAAATGAGGTTTTTTATTCTTCAATTACACTTGTGCATATTTATATTAAAAAATGTAACTATGTACAAATATTTTTGTATTAAATATTAATTATTTACAACCAAATTTATATATTATATATACTTAAGACTTTTTCTTATATGTATATGTCTAAAAACTTCTTTGCAGGAAGGTTTATGGGATCAGCATTTGAAGTAGTTGCATACTTCAGAGAATTTCACTGCAGTTGGGTATCATGTGGCTGAATTCCATGCTGTCCCATTTCTTCACTTTCTTTAACTTCAAGGGCTACGAATAAGAAAAATCGCAGTGCTCTCCCACTTAAAGCTTTTTTTAGAGATCTCCAGTTCAGAAGCACTGCACAAGTGCTATAAGTTTGGTATAAAAATGACAATTTTTATTGTCTAAATGTTTTAGAACAGACTAAGGTTTCCAAGCCAGTGAAGGACTCAGTTTCTTAGAAGTATATTCCTGAGCCTTGGTGGCTGGGTCAGCTTCTCATGTTAATTGGCGAACCATTTGCCAATTTCAGTCAACACTGTCATTGGAAGAAATGCATGAAGACACATGCATTCTATACACAGTCCTGTCAAAAGTGTAGGGAAAAAATTAACCCAAAATGAATGTAATTACTGAAGAAAGGGTGGTATTGCTTGTTTATGAACTCCACAGTACAAATAGTTCAGTGAGCTTAGACTCACCAGGAGATTTTTCTTTTAAACTGTTGTTATTTATTTGTTTTTGTCATTCGACTGTTGTTTTTTTTTCCTCTCGTTTCTTTTTGAGAACAAGGTTTTATACTGGAATTTTAAATTTGAGCCTCCAGATAAGCACAGACTCAGAAATTCTCAGCACATCATTTGAACAGTTTTAATTCCACAAAATGCTTGTACTTGAAGGAATAGCCATGGGCTTTTTCAATGGATTCAGCTGATTTTATTAACTGTGGGAAACAGTTGCCTCTGGCAAAAAATAAAAAAGGAACAGATGTTGCACTGAGGAAGGAAGACTGTTTCCCCTTTCATATTCAATATCTGCTTTAATCTGACCTGCTAAATGATTAAGTTCCAGAGAGACTGCACTGAGGTGTTCCTGAAGAATCACCTCACCAGGAGGTTTTCTGCAACTATTAGGAAGGTTTTGATGATCTACCTGTTCAATAATAACATCCTGCAGATAACTCTGCCACTTTTCTGTTTTAAAAATAGCATGTTCCTTTTCTGTCACCTGGTTGCTTCTGTGTGTAGAACAAGCAGACTGCTGCACTGAGCATTAGCGGATTTTTCCCTTTGTACATCCTTTTCTTATAAATTTAAGTCAATAAGAAAGGCAGACAAAAGTATACAACATAAAGATGTGAGTACCTCTCTGTTACTGTTATGCCAGAAAAGCTTTTCACCTTGAAAACATTAGCATCTGAACACTGATGGAAGGAAGTGACCTTTAGAGACTCCTTCTAGTTGCACATACAGTTTTATCTAGAATGTCCTTCGATGCAAATGCTGGGGTTGTAACTGTTAGATGCAGATTTTCACTGACTGAAATAGAGATGGACAGAAGAACTCACTAAAGAACTCACAAAAAGCACACCAATAACATTGTTCAAGGAATCATATTTCTTCTTCTCTATACGGAACACTTCACAGAATCTTAGAGACACAGAATCATCAAGGTTGGAAAAAATTTCTAGGATAATCTAGTCCAACCACTCACCTATCACCGACATTGCCCACTAACCTACGTCCCTAAGTATTACATCTTCTCTTTCTCCAGAGCCTTCACAGCTTTGCTGCACTTTTCTGGACACGCTCCAGGGCCTCAGTGTCTTTCTTGTAGTGAGGGGCCCAAAACTGAATGCAGTACTCAAGCTGCAGCTTCACCAGAGCTGATTACAGAGGGATGATTACTTCCCTGCTCCTGCTGGCTGCTTCTTATACAAGCCAGGATGCCATTGGTCTTCTTGGCCATCTGGGCACACTGCTAGCTCATATTCAGCCAGCTGTCAACACTCTCAGATCCTTTTCCTTTGTGCATCTTTGCAGCCACTCTTTCCCAAACCTGTAGCATTGCACAGAATCGCAGAATCACAGAATTGTAGGGGTTGGAAGTGACCTCCAGAGATCATCGAGTCCAACCTCCCTGCCAAACCAGGTTCCCTACAACAGGAGTTGTGACATAGTGCAGGACGTGGCAGTTGGTCTTGCTGAAGCTCATACAACCAGCCTCAGCCCATCAATCCAGCCTATATGATGAATGTAATTGGTATGTGGCTTTAAAATGAATGAAGCCTCTGCATTTTGTGTGATATGGAGCCTACTCCAAATCAATGTGCTTGAATTTAACTAAACTACAAAGGGTTTACCTGCCATCTTGTGCATATGCCTTTCCTGCTGCTGTCATAAGGCAATGCAGGGCTATATTCTCTAGGAAGCAGGATCCCATTCAAACCAGACCAAAGTGTGTGTAAACTCATCAGGGCTGTTTTGTAAAACATTTTGCATTCTGTGACTGTGGTCCAGCATCACATCTTGGCTTGTCTTTTAGAGCAAGATCTGTAATTAAAGATGGCTTTCTATTCTTCTTCTTTTTCTTTTATTATTTTTTTTTCCAAATTAATTTAGATGTGCATAATTCTCCCCTAGGAGTATTTATCATTTGGATTGCATTACCTATAGCTGTAGGATAACACTGCAGTGTCTGTGCAATAGGCAGGGATAAGAGGAGTTTAGCAATATCTCAATACAAGCCAAGCTGCTGGCTTTGTGCAGAGGGGTGCACTAAATTAGCTTTGCCACAATCCAGGGAATTTTTCTGGGACTTGGTCTTCCATAATGATAGCTCATCTTAATGAAATAAACCAATATAAATGAGGATAGAGTAGAATTGAATCCAATGAAACTTGGCACTGCAGAATCACAGCAGGAAACCTCTGGATTTCATCTCTCTTTGCACTGCGTACTCCAGCTTGTCCTTCCTGTTCTCCATGAGTTACAGCAGTAGAACTCAGTGATCAGAGCCAGACAAGGCAGAAAAAATGTGGACAAAATGCTGCTGGTCAACGTCCACAGTTATTCCAGTGACAGAACTGCTGTTCTTGAGATGATTCTGACTGTGCAGGTAGCTTCTGCTAGAGGAGCTTTGCTGTGGCTGGAAAATCTCATCACTTTGTCTGTATGGTAGTCATGTCCAACTTCCCTTTGAATTGAAAAGCATGAATGGAAAATTTTATGAACACTTTAAATACTGTCCTATATAGCATATTTTATAGGTGTCAATATAAATAATAGCCTTCTGTATTCTTTGAGAATGATGAAATAAAAATGCCTACTTGGAGTGAACTGTGTACCAGCTGTATTTACTGAGTCCTTTCCAGGTTTCTACAGTGCACGCTTCTCTGTCCAGTCTGGAAACTCACTTATCTAAATAACAAACAACAAAAAATTGGAGATGGGCGTCAGAAATTCCAAAATCTTTTTTTTTTTTTTTTTTTTTTTTGTGAATTACCTCTGAAATCATGTGAGACATTACTTGTTTTATTCATCTTACTCATGTATAACTACATATCTAAGTGGCCTTAGCCCCAAGGATAAGGAGCATGGCACAGCTGTATTTTCTTTCCAGTAGTCTCTGCAGAATACCAGCAGTTGATTATATTATTTTTTTTATCA